GTCCAATTTAGTGGTATTTCCCGAAAAAAATGTATCTTATTGTTAAAAAAAGAAGATGAAGTTTCTTTACTGATTTCAAAGTTGATTGGAAAACAAATGTTTACAGCAATAACTTGTATCTTTATAACAAACATACTTTTGCAACTTTTACACTTTCTGGCGCTTCATTTAAATAATATTAATTTGTTTATACATTTCATAAAATAAACTATTAAAATATGGTCGTACAGTTGAGATAATTTCTATAATATTTTAAAAACATTTGGTAAATACAGTTTTGAAACGTACAGTTTTTAACCAAAAGTCCATTTAATTAAAAAAAATATTTATTGTTAAAAGCTACTTTTGAATATTCTTTTTTTGTTGATTTTCTGTTATTTACAAGTAAAATGATTTACTAATTGGAGTAAGTGTATTATGTCGGTGAAAAATGTGAAAATGTGTCACGAGTGTTCTTGAAATTGACAGCGCCAACGTCAAAGGTGCCAAAGAGATTAATTATTATGTAGCAGTGCATCCAGATCTTTAAATACTAGTGTGTGTATATATACCTATGTACATTTTTCCCTCTTAATTTTAACTACTCTACAAAACTATCAGAACCCATCCCACGTAGCTCGAAAACAACAATAATAATAATAATTGGCAACTATCCTAACGCAAACATTTAATGATTGTGTATATAACTTTGTTCGACTTGGAAACACATAGGAAACGACTCGTCTCACATTTAAAATAATATAATTTTATAACATTAAAAATATCAACATGTGAAGACTATATTGTTTCAATAGAGTACAATTTATTTTAGTATTTTTGACATTTAACTGCAAATGCGAGGTTGATTTGAATGATTATACGACAACAAAATTTGTAAAAATCCATCTAGTTACAATGAAAATGAAAATAACTCGGTTGTCAAAAACAAAATTTCGATTTTATAATATACCTAATTGAAAAACATATAAAAATAAAAGAAATGTTATGATATTCTAATATAAATACACATAGGCAGATAAGTTTGGTGTTTTACATGGCTCTCCACAGTGTGAATAATAATTTATGACAATATAAATGTGTCTGTTGATTTAAAACAAAAATTGTAAGACAAAACACTTATTGTGTCAATAACAGAATATGTTATAGTATAAAAGGCCACAACTTAAATTTTGAAAATATTAAGGTGTTAAAAAAAAGTATTCGAAGCGGTTAAGTTTTAATTAATTATACAAGTTTTTGTAATTTTATAGACCTAAAAAGCCTTACAAAATCTACAAAAGGCCAATTTCCATTCAGTAAACCAATGAATAAGTCTAATTACTCAGTTTATTCGCTAAGTGTATTTATTGGTCTGTTTACTAAGTTTTGCTGGAAACCGAATTCCTTAAAAAACCACGACTCTTACATTAAACAAAACAGATTAGAAATTTCCCCATGTAAAATAATTCTTTAGCCAAAAAAAAGGATTTTCAACAAAACCTATTAACGGACCATCCAAGTAGTTAAAAGAAATGTGGCGGCCATATAAAAGAACGCTACACTTCTTATTTACCACGGCGTTCGGTATAGGCAATTATTTACAATATTTCTAATTAAAATTTTAAAAAGTGTTCACTTATCACAGTATAGATAGGTACTTAATTATAAGTTGTTTCTCATCAATCTATGCTAAAAGCAAATTATTCTATTTTTTTTTTCAATATTTTTTCTTTAAGAATATTACAATTTTAATGACAAACACCATATACCTAATGATAAAAAAAAACTATTACTAAAAAATATTAGCTAAACAATGTACCTACACATTAAGATTTTTTTTTCGATATAGTGATTCATATACTATTTTATTTGAGCAATTAAGTTCAGAGAAAAATTGCGCTTTAAAATTATCCAAATTAACATTATTAGAGACATTGGAAACATTTCACAACAAATTAGCATTAATTCAGACCAGAAAATATATTGCGTCCACTAGCAATTACAGATTTTTTTTAACAAAATTGTAATAATTTATTATTAATAAATTGTAACAAAATAACTCATATCTGTTTAGACTTGGTTATAAGCCCTAAAAATTAAAATGTTTAGTCATAAAAAATAATTTTAATCTAGGCTGGACCAGTTAATGATAAAAACTTAACTTCATATAAATATATGACCAAATAAGAATAAAAACATAATTGTTTTACACGTTAAATTACACGTTCAATATAGTTAAATTAAATGCCAATTATATCGATTAACCAATTTGAAAATATGAATAAATTTATCCCAATAATTTAGCATCTCAAAAATCATTAATGTCCTTTCTCAATCCGACTTGTATAAACTTATTTAAAAACAAATTGTATGTACCCAACGGTTTTCAACGATTGTATAAATCAATAGTATGGAAGATAACGTCTAATTTATAGCCAATAGTCTGAGTAACTGAGGCTATTGATCAAAATTAAAAAAAATGTGTTTTTAATAAAAAATACAACTTAATGGTTATTAACATGACCACACGGTTCAGATTACGATCAAGCTAATAATTATAACTAATAATGAGTTTGCTAAATATTTTTAAGTTGACTTATTTTACCTTTACTAAAAATTGTTAACTGCAACTGAAAAACCAACCGCAGACCGACAGAACTGACACGATACTATAGTTTCAATTAATTTTACATTCACACAACTAGTGATTTTAGGACGAACATTTTATATTTATTTAATACAACTACGGATTTACAGCATAAAGAAATAGCCTTAGTTATATTAATATAACGTTATAAATACATATTTTTTTATTAAAAACGTATATAGTAAAATTATTAAAAATAACTCAAAGAAGCCATGATGTACCGAAGTATGATGATTTTTTTTTATTATTTATCTTTTGATATGTTGTTAAATAACGTCCATAGTTTTCAACGGACACTTCTTATTAAGCTGGAAGCTGTAGAGGCGTTGACGAACACATCATAATACATTTGCTGATGAGTCCCACGCAATTTGATTACTTATATCAAAGTATTAGACAAATTGCTGACATAATTTAAACTAAAATAACCAGTTGGTATTATTATCGAAAGATTTTTTTTAACAAAAACTTGTCAACTATTCAGACCGCTAACAGAAGGTTTTCGCATTTCAAAAGGATAGTTTTTGTGACAGAAAAACAAAAAAACGATTTATATTATTGTTGGCGATGTTAGTTGAAGTGGTAATACAACTTAATAAGATCAAAAATAAATAAACTATAGCAATTTTTCAAAAAAAAAAAAAAATTGTTAAACTTTCCAAACTATAAACAAAAAAAAAAGGTAAAGATTAAAAGGCTTCTTGTCAAATGGGAATATTAAATAATTTAAAAAAAAAAACGCCAAACTAGTCACTTTATACTACAACAATGATTTCCATAAAACAACGATTTTTTAAAAACGTATTTATCTCTAACTTTGGTGTACTTAACTGCTCGCCGTTTGGTTTCTTCTTCAACACTATAAAATATTAGAGAGGAAAATATTGAGAAAATCACTCACGGTAAACACCTTCAACACACTGATCAACATTATTAATATATCCCAATGGATCGATCACGTTAAGTGTATTGGGTTTAGCAATTTGTTTTTAGTTTTCCCGGGAAATGAGGTCACTCTAGCGAAACGTCATAGGCCAACTTCATATTATGCCTACCGCATAGTGTCTATTTTACTTAGTAATTATTTATAGCCCAACACAGGAAAAAACATTTCACCGTCGAAAACAACCAAACAGCACAGTCTGTTGACGACAAAACGAATCAAAGACAACGCACCGCAACACCGATAGATGGCACTATCGTCGACAACCGTTTAAAAATTCAAGACTTTCTTCATTCAAATAAAGATTGAACAAATGAAGTTTTTTATGAATTCGAAAAATATACGTATATTTAAAATATTTTTTATACGAACGAGATTGTACTTCTGTTAAATAAAATTGTAAAATGATTTTTTACAAGACTGTAAGTACTGCACTAATACTTTCAAGTACTTGCCAAAGAAAATTAACTGACTTAATAAGGTAATAAAACATTCCATTCATATATTTCGTGTTATGTGATTAGATGTCAAAATATATCATTTTTAATTGCATTTCATAGCTGTAATTTGTTCAAAATGTTCTTACAGGTATGTTAGGCTCATATTTATTTTTTTGTCTTTTTTATATTACACGTCTTGTAACTTTCTTACAGATTTGACATTTTTCTTTTTCTACCGTTCTTAATCACTAAACATTACCGTTTTCAACAATGTAATCTAGTTCATAGATAAAAAGAAGTATAAACATTTATAGTTGGATTAAGTATACATCTAAATTTAATTAAAAACAAAGTCAACAAAGTAGGATTTAAAATCGTTTAAAATACCATAAAACATAAGTACTGCAATATTATGTTTGAAAAATATATATATCAGCGCCATGTTACATATCAAATTAAATATTGTTTAATATATTAAGATTTATATTTCAATAAAATAATATAATTTTCTAAAAATGTTAACGAAAATTTCAAACTGAATTAAGAAAAACTGAACTTTTTGTTTTTTATCCATTTTTTGTCAGTGTTTTTTATAAATACATATATATTTTTTTGTTAAACACTTCTACTTAGACATTTATTGTATTTTTTATGTAAACATGTATAATTAGTGATGATACAATCGATCGTTGTACCACAACTAATTATTATTTATAGTACTTTTACAATTTTTTAGGTGTTTAACTCGATTTTCCTAAACTAAAAAATCTATTTTTTTATTCGCACTATATATTTCTATATTTTATACCAATGAGGACTTTTCGCCCACCGCTATGTTTTTTTTTATTCTTGGGATAAACTTTTAGTATATGCAAAATGCACAACATGTTTGTACTACTTTACCGATGACCAATATTTATTCCAACGATATTGGATAGAGAATAATATAAACAATTTAATAACGAATAGGTGTAATCAAAGTTTACTGTACCTCGTCACAGGCTGAACATCTGGGCTTGAACTGTTGCGCATAATGGCGTTCGCAGTACAAATGGTCTTCGTACAAGCAGTAAGTCAAGTCGACAAGAAGTTCCTGGCATTCGGTGCACGTGAAGCACGACGGATGCCATAACACGGTGTCGCCGAATTTCGATGCAAAGACTCCTATTTCGCCGGGCTCTACATTTTTTTGACACTTGGGACATTCCTGGAATAGACAAACGTTACAGTTAATTTATGGCATATTTGTTTGTTGTTGACGTTATTTCGGAGAATAATTTAAAAAAAAACCCATCGCGCAAACCTTGTGACGCACAATACGGTTAGCACTAGGTGCTCACGGACTCATGTGTGCCACATTAGTACAAAGTATGTGACTTCCGAGAAGTAGGGTTTTAAGAACAAGGAGGACACCAGGCCGGGTACTTGATAAGGTCCTATAGGGCGAAGCGGGCGGTTTTAAATGAGTTTTGTACTGTCAATTTATATTTTCATACTAATTTGTACAATGTCAATAGTTATTAGATTAGATACATAAGTGATAAGTAATTGAATGGAGTAAAATAGTGTACACCGATTGTTATTCTTCTACAGTAAAATCATGTTGGCACATTCTGCTGCGTTCAGCGTTCTTCGGCCAAACAGAGAGGACGCTATGTATTTTGTACGACGATTAATTTGAATAATATTTTATATAGTTATTTTAATGTATAACTATTGCGATCAAGGCTAAAACAGACAGTAGTCTAATTTAGTCAAGAGAGGAAATGTTGATCATTTGTTCCTTCCTACTTTGGGCACAAATTTTGTACAACTATATTGAGTAAAATATACTTTGAAATTGTTATTACATAAGATATTATGTTAGCAATATATTTAAAAAATAACAAATTGAATCGTATTTGTTTAACAAAATTACTTCAAAATGTGTGCCCTAACAGTGCCCCCCCCCCCCCACAAGTTGGATACTCTTCAGTATTGTATTAACCTAACCTGAATTATAAATCACCTCGATATACTCTCTTGCCGACCTTATTCTTCTACCTGACTTATTTTGATAATTTTGCTTTTTTACTTAAAATGAATACAGCTATCATATAATTTTCTGTACAAAATTGTTAGGTATTATCCGTGTTAACCCTATCATATTTTAAACCCATTGTTATGCGTCTTACCGCTGTATAATTAATTCTAAGATAATGAAATCAACCGTTAATCTATATTAGGTATAAAGGGGACACAGTGTTTTTTTCTGTGATAAAAAAAAAAAAATTGTGGTCGCGCCGTCAATTTTGAAGTAAATATAAAAGAAAAACGTGCCACTAAACGTTCTTAGACAGATTCATTATATTCTTAGGACTCTGTATAGATTATGGAATCTATGTATTATTATTATCTTTACCGTTATGGTATTATATGGACACATAATTTGTATTATTATAAGGTATACCTGTTGTACAGTGATCGATTCGACTGTTGTGCTATAATAGCGACAGGCGTGCCAACGTGCCTGTACTATTAGAGCACAGACAGGACAGACACACATAGGCCGGCATCGTTTCCGTCACGGTATGAAAAATAATCTAAGCACACGCCAAAGAGACATCAATGTGGTAAGTATTATATTATTGTGCGGGTTTGTGTAGGTAAACAAATGCGTTCACGGTGTAATATCAAGCTGCCTTTGTCAGCTGTTGTCACACGCGAGACATGCATGTAAAATCCGCTTACCTATCACAACACCAGAAGTGCACCGGGTTAAATTTCCTATGAAATCGTCTACTGCTAGTAATGAAAAGAAAAAAATACCTTTGCCAAAATGTCTCAAAAAAAAAAAAAAAAATTTTTTATAAGTATAAAATAATATAATTGGCGGGCTTTGATAAAAACAATTTTAACTAGCCAAATTTAGATTTTCATAATATTAAATGTTCTTGACAACTATGCTTCTGAGGTCGGATTCCGACTCGTTGATACCTACGTCACTTTTTGTCAATTTTGGTGTAAATATTACACTGATCTGTTTCAAAATAGATTATTACACAACATTGTAAAATAATAATAATATGATATGTCTGGGCGATTTCATTGTCAAGCTACGGTTGCTAATGCGGAAGTTAATGTTTAAAAATACATTCGGCTGATACGTGAAAATAGATTTTATGTCTAAATATGATTTGTCCTTGTAAAATTTAAGAACGTTAGTCTTATGGAGATTTGTATTTTTCCAAGAGTTGGAAAAAGTGGCAAATCAACTTGTGTTATCCTAGCACAGATTTCCTACAAGACATATTTTACAACGATTTAAAAAAAACAGACTCAAGCTAACCACATCAGTTAAAATAGTTCTTTATGTAACTAAAAAGTAAACTCGTAACATTATAAACAACGTCTCACCAAAATGAGAATCACCTAGATACAGAAAATAACTATTTATCTTTGCCTAATGTATTTTATAATATAATTATGTTTTTCAATTTTTGTTTTAGAAGTCCTTGAAATGTGTACACAATATTATGTAGGGTGCTTGAATTCACAGTACTAGGAGTTCATACAAATGTGCAACTTTAGTAGAGAATATGAATTTATGACAGCCGTTTTAGAGAGATGACCATTTTGGCGGCCGCCAGCAATGGTGCCATAGGTCCCTGGTATACATTTTGTGTGTACGGTTAGGTTAGGTTTTACTATTAAATTCGGCTGAGATAATTTGTTTATAGCATTACTTTTTTTATAAGTCTTGTACACTTATTTTGTGTCTAAACAAACAATTAATATTATATTTTTGATTCGATTATATTTTTAAGTTATAGCAAAACAATCGTTAGAATTAATTTCACCGTTTAATACAATAATCGATGAACCGACATTGTTGTGAATGAAAGGAATATTTAATATTTTACTGATATGTGCAGACTGCAGGTGTTTATCAATTATAGAAAAAATATTAAATTCATATAATACATCTTAATTAATATAATATGTCTGCTGGCTATTTGTCTGTCCTCGAGAATGTAGTGAAACATTATAGGGTTTAGTTATAACAGACAACACCTGGCTATATTCACTTTCTAAAGATTGAGAGTGTTCAAGTAACTAGAAACACATTAACGCAGGAGATTATTGTAGTTATAGCATATTTTCTAGAATTTTCTAGACGGGTGTAAGTTGTAACCCAGTTAGTTATGCGAATCAATGCACTATACTAATTTTGTTAACATTACACAATTCTTTGATTTAGTTTAATTAACCCGTTTGGTAGACTGACTCATTTTTTCCAACTATTTACATTGGACCTGTAAGACCAACGTAATATTTAATAATACATTTTATACATCTTTAATTTTTCAACATAACTTTTTCAATTTTTGTTACACTAAGAGTGTCACTTTTTGTACAACTTAAATCGTGTTTTAAATTACAACTTGAGTAATCTAAATCATAATTTCCAAAACTTGACATTGGCTTATTTAGACCAAAAATACAGTTACTTTCAATAAAAAAACATTTTTGTTGTGTGGCAAACTTAATTTTTTAATTACACCCAATAGGCCAAAAGATTTAAATTACTTTAAAATTGATTACAAGTGCACAATATATTATAATGGTGTTTGAATTTTAACGTTGGGAAAACACGGGAAGACGTTTTACGGAATTCGCAATTCCATTGTGATGAGAATACTGATTTTTAGCTGATTGAAAAATTTAAAAAGTCTACACAAAAATGTCACAATCCCTACCTAAAAACAAGGAGTCACTGATATAATGAAAGCTATTTCTCAAGTCATTTTACTATGTCATGATTTATGAAATATAATTTTATATACAACATCATTACTTACCACATGATAAGTGCACTCTCTCGCATATCCAATATCTAACGCTATCTCATTTCTAGCGTTTATAAAGTCATCGTAGCTCTGATGGTGCCTTTGTTCCACGTGTTTGCAGTATGTCAAGGCTAAGTCTTGTTTCGGAAGTTGAACCACTACTTGCTTGTCTCTATATTTCTCACCGGTCGTGCCTAATTTAGGAACTTTACTGGACGGTAGACTGTTAAAGTATTTTTCTACCTGTTGGGAAACAGACAATTTTTAATATTACTAATCGTAGATGGTGTTTAATTAAAAAAATAATAACCACAATGGCCAACACATTATGGTACTAACTAGGAAGTGTTTGTAGGAAAAAAGTGAACAACTACTATTATTACTGTTTCGTATGGACCGCCATATTCGATCTTTATGAGTGAAAGAAGTATTGTGTATTATTAAAGTTATAACCACTGTCTTCACTATCTATCGGATCAAATCGTAAGCACCATTAGGACACGCGGAGTGCAACTGTGCCAATGAGACTACATTAAATATCCCCTTAGGGAATTCAAAATTCAAAGAATAAAGCACGGTGCAAAAAAATCAGTATTCTAAAAGATCTGATCCATGAAATAATGCCAATATTTCTAATGTTTTTTGAAACTTATATTTGGAAACATTTTGAAATAATTAATAGGTAGACATCGGATGCCTACTTTTAGCTTTGATGCTAAACTAAAAAAGTATTGGTCTTACAATGATGGATTTGGTTATTTTGCATTTAATTTATTATTATTATATCGTTTATTTCTATTATAAGGTCTAAGACCATCAATGAGTATCACGAGCGGTTATTAATTATTGGTGGAGTGAAGTCTAGTAGTTTATTACACTATATATATACATTTGTGCTACATCAATTTGGAGCGCATCGACCTGCTGTCAACTCGATAATAACCTCTATCGCACTAACCTTATGACTAGGCAAACCGGGAGGTACCCACGAGTATCCTTGACTGTAGGACCTTTCCTTGGAGACCCTCTTGTCGGGATCTTGGACGGGTTTGAATCCTAGCCGGTCCCTCACGTTAACCCACTCTTCGTGCAGTACGTCGTGGGAGTCTTTAGTGCACTTGCAGCTTCCGCATGTTTTCCTATGATGAAAAACAAGAAAGAAAAAAAAAAAACACAATCAGTTGCGCGTTAAACGTGTGTAACCGTTCGCCCGATTAGCCGTTATGCTCGTGGCTTGCATAGCGAATGACGCGTGTGCAAAAAACCCAACTCTGGTCCAATTACCTAATAATAAGTTCGCAAAGTTCTTCTTGTCCGAATACTTTGCCGTAAAGTTCGAGTATTCGTACGCACGCGAACTTCAGTCCCGGCCAAGGAATTAACGGCGAATCCAAGCCGCTGTATAACGGACAACAATGGGCTTTTAAGTCTAGCATATCCTTCGGAACCGATCCTGCGAGAAAGTGTAATTGGGTACATGAAAAAAAAACCGACCACCGCACATGAGCTCACAAATGTGATATCATATTCGCCACGCCAATGTACGGCGGCCACCTTAGAACCAACAGTTTACCTCACGTTTACAGACACACCCGCGTGGAGATAATATGCCAAAGACAAACTAAATCCATACCTTTAACTATAACCTACGTGACATGTATTAAAAAAGTATTTTTCAATTAGTCATTTAAAGCAACACAAATTACACAACTATTGCTAATTATCGATACTCGGAAAAATAACCAATGGGCTATTTTTTGTTATAATAAAACTACTCGTTCTTCGAACACCGGTAGGATTAATTGGACAATACGATTAATAATATTGTGGGTCAATTGTCTAATCGGTGTAGTAGATAATTAAAGCACAAAAGGCATCAACCTGTAGCTTTTAAATGTTACCTCATAACTAGTACACAATTAACCAATAAGGGTTACCCTATACTCTCTTTCCGCATTCGTCAATCAGTCACAATTTCTATAATATTATGATCGATTCCATATCATCCACCTACTTCTTATTCTTTTCCGGTCAACTTCTGCCTCTAAATCCATTTAGTTTACATCTGGTTCTTAATTCTAAACTTTTTTATTTCTCTTTTAATACATACCCACACTGTATTAATATATTCTTTCTCATTATTCCTGCTGTTGGCACAACTCTTCAAGCACTTCTCTCACGAACTGATTCCATCATCTCACATTTTCATTTCAGACATAATGAATAGTAAATCTGTACATAGAAATTCATACTTTGTACAATATCCTTAAATACTTGTTTAACCATTAGTGCCCCTGTAATCGTTTCTCTCATATGAGTCAGCTAACATTGATTGTATACTACTTTGCTCAGAAGTCACATACTGAACATTGTATCAAAAACTATTTACCTGCCATTATGTGATTAGAGTACAAAACGTGTGCCAATATTGCATTTTTTGACTTTAAGAACGCACGTACGTTAATGAGTAAAGACCAGCATTAAATTGTTACAGGCGATTACCTAATTGGTATGTAATGTTGCACGCTCAGAGATCCAGAGAATTGAAACGACATAAACTTTATTAGTACTTGATTAATTCTAGGAACAACTGGATAGGTGTAATATTATAGTTAATATACATACACCGTGCAGAAGCTCAGTAACTTCTATGGATTGTTAATTGATTGCTCGAGCAAGTACGAATCGAATACTGTTAATGACAAACGAGTATTTTTCATACGACAAATCACACATTTAATAAACATACACACACACACACACACACACGAGTTTTTTTCAAAACATCAAACAAATATTTTACTTATAATTTTCACTAAACCCCAACAAAACGTTTAGCCGATATCAATTTTTAAAATAACTATATGGGATATTCATTTTTTTCTACCATTCAATTCCGGTCGACAGAATTTGTTTAATTATTTAATGCGAGCTTTACCGTTTATGGTTATAAAGAGTTATTTCTTCGTAAAAAAATGCAGACCGTTTCATATTTAAAGAGTATTAACTTAGGGCTATTGGGGCGTGACACCGGCAATTGTTTTAGTGTCAGTAAAAAACGTACTAACATATTATACAACATTTACCCAACTCTATATATATATATATGCATAATGAAATAGTTTACAACATAAACGCTAAATTCCTTAAGCACACGCCGAACGATGGATACCGCATTTAATAGGGTCAGTAGAGGTCTTGAAAAAAATAACCAAGCAAATGCAGGTAATGTTTTTCCTTGGATCAAACAAAATATTTATTGTAATTTCCTATAAATGTATTTATTTTGTGTGCATTCTGATGACAACCAATCAATATTAGTTCTACTCCACCAACATTGTTGTTTATTAACTATAAATGATACTATAAAATCGGGGCGAAACCGCTTTTACAACCACGCTGTATACGACGTTAATTTCAATTAACGTTGATTTCTAACGAACAATAATCTGCACGCATTCCTAGTAAAAATATATTAGATTGCCGGTCTTATCCGTCGTGACGTCATGTACCTAATGAATATTATGAATAATTGTGACCGGTAACGGGAAATTAATTGTACACACCGACTATTGTCATTGACAAATAAAAATACCGGGTTTTAATTTGTTCGGTCGAATAATATATATATATGTATTGTTGGGCTTAATTAATTGTTATTTTTTTTTTTTTTCATTAAGAAATGATTCTTTGTACACGATTTGAATACATTAACAGTTGAATTAATTCGGCCAACACGCTATGGTTCAGAATGCACGGCCGAGCTAAGGGGTTAGACTACTATGTTTGTGTAAGATTATTCCAAAAAAAAAAAACCCAAAGCGCGCTAAACGGCCATTAAATGTGAAACGAATTCGCCAACAGGTCACAACATCAAACTCGAGCACTCCGCAGGACATTATGTATAGTAAAAAAACAACAACAAATCTAAAAAAAATACATCGAAATCCATTCTCAAGCCGTGACCAAACGACGGCTTTGCTGAACTCGGTCAAGGTCATACTATAGCCACATCCAGGATACTCGAGGAATAACCGTGTTTAAATCATGGAAAATACAAAAATAATTCCAAACATTTTTAAAAATAGTTTGTAAGTGTTTTTTTTCGAGTAATTTAATATATTCTACATTTAGAAAATATGTAAAACCATTTAAATATAGGAAGAACATTTTTTATTCGAATAAGAATTTGCAAAACTCTAATTTTATGGGTAAGTTCTCGTATGCATATACGTATATATATTATATATTTTTTTGTATAATAATTTAAAAACATTTAAGTATATTTAGATAAAATATTTGCATTTTGAAAAAACCCCCGTCAGGATGGAGAATTTCTGCGCCGTCTGTTATCACTAGTCGGCAGTTTGTTATCAATATCTGCGATCCAATAGGAGTTAACACTATTTGTTTACAAAAGAAGAAAATAATATGTTATATTAAAAAACCAACTGATGACAAAACACTAACCTATCCCTTTTCTCCCTCGCATCCATTGCTTTTTGCACCAGCAAACACAGCTGTTCTCACCTTTAGAGTATGACAGTTTCAATTTTGTAAATCATTCAAAATTTTATAACAATTTTAAATAACGACTTGGCGGCGCGGCGTAGGAATGATAAGCGACTAATGATAAAATTATCAGTAATACAATTTCGTTACTGTAAAATGTGTTATTTATAAATGTATAATTTAAAATAATATGTTAAACGAGCGGGAAATTATTTTTTATAGGTAATTGATTTTTTTATTCGCCCGACTCGGAGGAAGCTTATGTGTGTATAAGTTGTTTTCATACTTAAAATTTCCTTTTGAAACGACCATTTTTAACAGCAGCTGTATACACATTTGCAGGTATTACTGCGTTTCTATACATAGACATATTATTATTATTATTATTATATTTTTTACCAAAGATAATGAATATCTACAGATAGGTATGACGCGTTGCAACAGCAACGGACACGCGACTCCTGTACGGTTTTTTATCCGGTAAATTTATATTGACAACGATCGGCGTACCTATACCTAATGCGTATTCGAAGCACGTTTAAAATGTATATAATACTTATACACATATATATACTCATAATATTTATAATAAAATATAAAAAAATAAAGCGAATCGTGTCGCAAGTGGCGGCGCAGCCGTCAAAGGACGTGTGCGGAATACAAGAATCGAATAATAATATTATTTTTTTTTTTTTTTGTATTGCGCGATTTTATAATAAGTAATAACAATAAATAAAAGTAATTTTGATTTTTTTCCCCATTATTATTCGATTGTATTTTCTATATTATTATTATACTATATTAGGTACGTTACTGCGTGGTCCGGTTGTCCGGTGGCGTCTGTCGCGGCTTTCGGTGGTGTGTTGTAAAGGATTTTTATCACAGATTACAAGCGTGTATCGAAATAACAATATTATTATACCTATATTTAAATACTACTATAATATCATCTACATGGAGCACAGCAGCAGCAGCTACGGCGGCGGCGACGAGCGGAGTGTAAATTATATTAAAAAAAAAAAATCACAAGAAGCTAATCAAAACCAACTCGAAGAAAAACCGTACTGAACGCCAAAGCCGTCGATGCGCGGTTTGGTCGCCAACGCAATAATATTGTTATCACGAAATAATAATTATATGTATAAATATAATATATATATATGTACACATATACAAGAAATCGGAACGGACACTGATAACGAATTTCACGATACCGTTCGGCCATTTTGGTGTATAAGAAAATAATGGCTGCAGCGGCAGCTGTTGCCTTTCGATAAAAAACATGGCGGCAGATTCGAAGTGACCGTTCCGATTTCGTATCTTATTCCGTGATAATAACAGCTATTAATATTTTTGTAGCATCCGCATAGACTTAAATAATAATTTTCAATAATAATAATAATACTACTCGTTATAGACCTCCCGAGTGGTAATAACGTTATTATACATACGTTAAACTGCACGAAGATAACGCAAAATATCATTAACTCGTCGCCGCATAAGATAGCGTGTAAAATATGATACACTCAATACTTAATTTATCTGATATTAGTATTACACATACATACAAACGACAAATAATAATTACATCCGTGTTATCGAGTGGGTGTATGATAAGGACAGCTGT